GAGAATTGAATAAGCTGACGGTCAAGAACCGTTACCCGTTGCCGAGGATCGACAATTTATTCGATCAGTTGCAGGGAGCATCTTGGTTCTCCAAGATCGATTTGAGGTCGGGCTATCATCAGGTGAGAGTGCGGAACGAGGACGTCCAGAAGACAGCATTCAGGACGCGTTATGGGCATTATGAGTTTGTGGTGATGCCTTTTGGACTCACCAATGCCCCGGTTGTGTTCATGGACCTCATGAACAGGGTATGCAGGCCGATGTTGGATCAGTCGGTGATTGTGTTTATCGATGATATTCTGGTATATTCGAGATCTAGAGAGCAGCATGAGGAGCATTTGAGGGAAGTTCTTGGAGTTTTGAGATCGGAGAAACTTTATGCAAAGTTTTCCAAGTGCGATTTCTGGTTGCGGGAGGTCCAGTTTCTGGGGCACCTCGTTAATCAGAAGGGGATATTGGTCGATCCGGCCAAGGTTGACGCGGTGATGAGATGGGAGGTGCCAAAGTCACCCTCTGAGATCAGGAGCTTCCTTGGGTTGGCAGGGTACTATCGGAGGTTTATCAAGGATTTCTCCAAGATCGCAGTGCCACTCACCAGATTGACCCGGAAGGGTGTTACATTTTTATGGGGTCCCGAGCAGCAGACCTCCTTTGAGACGCTTCACCAAAGGTTGTGTGAAGCTCTGGTATTAGCTCTTCCGGAAGGGATGGAAGATTTTGTGGTATTCTGTGATGCATCGATTTTAGGGCTGGGAGCGGTGCTGATGCAGAAGGGACATGTGATAGCATATGCATCGAGGCAGTTGAAGCCTCATGAGACGAGATATCCCACACATGATTTAGAGTTGGGGGCAGTGGTGTTCGCTCTCAAGATTTGGCGGCACTACTTGTATGGGGTTCGTTGTACGATATACACGGACCATAAGAGCTTGAAGTACTTGATGGATCAGCCTAACCTAAATATGCGGCAGAGGAGGTGGTTAGATGTAGTCAAGGATTATGATTGCGATCTTGTACCACCCGGGCAAGGCTAATGTGGTAGCCGACGCATTGAGTCACAGGGCGGAGAGTACTCCACTGTGAAATGTATGTTTGAGATTGACCGTGATAGCTCCAGTTCTGGACGCCATTCGTGAGGCACAGGCCGAGGCTGTGCATCCGGAGATGCAGAAGAGAGAACGGGTCGTTGGTTTGGTTTCTGAGTTTGTGTCGGATAGTCGAGGGCTTATGACTTATCAGGGCCGGATTTAGGTACCATTTGTGGGCGGTACGCGTACTACATTGATGGAGGAAGCTCATAGATCGAAATTTTCGATCCACCCCGGGTCTACGAAAATGTATTTGGATTTGAGGAAAGAGTATTGGTGGCCTTGTATGAAGAGGGACGTCGCATGGTTTGTCGAGAGGTGTTTGACCTGTCGAAGGGTGAAGGCCGAGCACCAGAGACCGCATGGTAAGTTGCAGCCATTGGAGATTCCCGAATGGAAGTGGGAACAGATCACTATGGATTTCATCATCAAATTGCCGAGGACTGCTAGAGGAGTTGATGCAATTTGGGTGATTGTAGATAGGTTGACGAAGAGCGCTCACTTTCTTGCCATCAGTGAGAGTTCTTCGGCGGAGAAGTTGGCGGAGGTTTATGTGAGAGAAGTAGTATCTCGGTATGGGGTGCCGATCTCGATTGTTTCGGACCGTGATGTGCGTTTCACTTCCCGATTCTGGAAGAAATTTCATGAGGAGTTGGGTACTAAGCTGCATTTTAGTACCGCATATCACCCCCAGACAGACGGCCAGAGTGAGCAGACGATTCAGACGCTTGAGGACATGCTTCGAGCATGTGTATTGGATTTTGGGGTAGTTGGGATACGTATTTACCCTTGGCAGAGTTTTCCTACAATAACAGCCATCATTCGAGCATCGGTATGCCGCCCTTTGAGCTGTTGTATGGTAGGAGGTGTCGGACTCCCATTTGTTGGGGTGAGGTTGGGCAGAGAGTGATGGGCAGTACAGAGATCGTGATTCAGATGACAGAGCAGATACAGCGGGTCAGATAGAGGTTATTGACAGAGCGGACAGGCGCCGGTCCGAGCTTGAATTTCAGGTCGACGACTTCGTTCTCCTGAAGGTTTCTCCTTGGAAAGGGGTGATTCGGTTCAGGAAGAGGGGCAAGTTGGGGCCCCGGTTTATAGGTCCATTTCGTGTGATTGCGAGGGTAGGTCGGGTAGCCTATCGGTTGGAGTTGCCAGCAGAGTTGGGACAGATTCACGACACTTTTCATGTGTCGCAGTTGAGGAAGTGTATAGCCGATGAATCGGCAGTGGTTCCGTTAGAGGATATTCAGGTAGATGCAAGCCTGAATTATGCCGAGAGACCAGTGGCCATCAGGGATCGGAAGATCAAGGTTCTGAGAAACAAGGAGGTACCTCTGGTGTTGGTTCAGTGGCAACACTGGAGGGGATCAGAGATGACCTGGGAACCAGAGCATATGAAGCAGGAGCAGCATCTGGAACTGTTTTTAGAGTGAGACTTCGAGGGCGAAGTCTAGTCCTAGTGGGGGAGAGTTGTAACAGCCAGATTTTTATCAGGTATCTTATTTATTGTATTTTGTTGATTTGTGAGGGGGACTCGGCGAGTTGGAGCTCAGACTCGCCGAGTAGGGACGCGGATTTGGACGCGGGATCACGCCTGGACTCGACGAGTCCAGGATATGGACTCGGCGAGTCAGCGCTGTGTAATGAAACCCTAATTTCTTGGGTTTGAGACTTATTTAAAGGGCCTAATGGCCGTCATTTGTGCTCACCAGCCCCTTGAGTGAAACCCTAATCGAGTGTGAGCATTTGGAGCTAAGTAGGAGGCCATTGTTGACCTTGGAGATGCCATTGTTGCAAGGAAGGAGAAGAGCTAGCCAAGGAAAGCAAGAAGGAGCCACTTCTGTGGGTTTGGAGTCCAGAGCATCACTTTTGTGGTAATAAATCCGAGTTACCTTCTTGTTTGTTGTTGTTTATTTAGATTTAGGGTTTGTTGAACCCTTTTATGGCAAGATTTAGTGTCCTTTTGGTCCCTTATGAGGTTGGAACCATAGATCTGGACCCTTAGAGGTCCAGAGTGTCCCTTTACCCAAGCTTTTTGGGGATCAATGGAGGCTTTGGATTGGAATCTTCATGCCTTAGGTCAAAAACTCCATTATTGAGCTATAGGGTGTGTTATGAGCACCAAGATAGGAGCTTTACGTGATGAATCAGTCGAGGGAGGCCAGATCTATAGTTTTTGGAAGCAGATCTGACCTTAGAAGCGAGTTGGAGTGGTTGCATGGCATGGACTCGCCGAGTCTGTTCATCCGACTCGGCGAGTAGCTTGAAGATTTCCTTGGGACTGCTCAGCGAGTGGTCCAATCGAGTCATGGGTAGACTCAGTGAGTCAGGGTGAGCTGGAGAGGGTTGACGAGTGGACTAAGTCAAACTTGGACTCGCCGAGTTGTCCTTGAGACTCGGCGAGTTGAGTCGGGGTGGCCCCGCGATTCATTCAGGTGAAACTCGTCGAGTAAAGGGGGGGATACTCGACGTGTAGTAAGAGGATTTCAGAGGGTTGGTGAAAACGTCTAGACTCGCCGAGTCGCCATGGTACTCGCCGAGTCCGGTCAGAGTTGACCGTTGACCGTTGACCAGAGTTGACCTGTGTTGACTTCTTATAGATAGTCAACCTTAGAGATATAAAGTGTTAATTAGAAACGTATAATTTTATAGGAGGATTAGAGCTCGGAGGATCGAGCACGAGGGATTTCCAGGATTCGTGAGATACCGAGATACGAGGTGAGTCTTCTCACTATACTATATTACCTTGAGTAGGTAACCAGAGTTATGTGATAGAGTATTTGTATGCTATGTATGTTATGTGTTGTACTCATTATTTCTATGTGATTTATGTAGTGCATGTTTATCAGAGCTAGAACCTGAGGGTTCACAGAGTTTGGGTGCACGGACCCACAGAGTTATAGCCTCGAGTGGCTAATATGTGTTATATGTGGTATTTTGGGGAACTCACTAAGCCTTGTGCTTACAGTGTTTGATGTTATTGTTTCAGGTACTAGTGACGACCGCGGGAAGGCGCCGGCTTGATCCGTACACACACACTCGGAGTTTTTACATTGTGATCTTGGGATTTTGTATTAACCTATATTGGATAATTAATATGGTTGTTTGATGAATATTAATCGAATTATGTTTTATAAGAAAATCGAAAAAAAAAATTTGTTTTGAAATTTACGGTGTTACAGTAACCTTACGATGCGCGTGTTTATGACACGCAATGCGTAACAAGGAAGCCCCTATCAAGAAAGGTCATGTCATAAATGAAGACGACACACATTTTTGCATATCGTAATTTTATTTTTTTTTAGAAAAATATTATTTATAGATTTACTAATTTTCAAATTAAATTTGCATTTCATGTCTCAATAATAGAAAATAAAATACCATATACAAAAAATACAATACATTGCACAAAAGTTAATGTCATACAAATAATCATTACAATAGTAGACAAATGTAACATTTCAACATTTTTTATACAATTAACTAAATTATTAGCCAAATTTCCTAAAATACCAACATACTTTTCTATGAAGAGCCTTAACACTATTCTTTTCCATCAAAAACTTCAAAACCTACATAATTAAATTAATGTGTAATTAGCTACATGTCAATAAGGTAGGTTTAAGCAAAAGAGCTTCATAATAGTAAGATTTTACTTACCACTGTTGTTAATGACATTGAAAGAAGCAGCCAACAAACACCCCCTCAGAAGGATTACTAACACATAACTATTGATATTTGATACTTTATTACTAAATGAAACCAAAAACAAAGTTAAAAAGTCAACAAAATCCGAAGGTTTTAGTCAAACATACAGAGGTTGTAATTCCAAATATTAATAAATGACATTGATTGAACCACCTGCAGATTTACCATTTTGTCCCTATGAGATTCAATACTGAACACATTCTACAGTTTGAGCGATTTCTTCGGTGCTTGTCCAAACATCTCTAAAGTAGGCATTCTTTCTATCCTTTGTGGTCCCGTTGGCTCGTTTTCGAAGTCGATGTCGACCTAAAACACACAACATGCAAAACATGATATGAATTTGTGTTTTGTGTTTCTTTGAGGGTAGAAGAGTAATTTTACACATATCGTACCGACAAGTGCGTAAGCTACAACCAAGGGAGGTGAAGCCAGGTAGTTGGCTCTTGTTAGTGAGTGAACACGCCCATAAATCCATGGCTATTTTAGTGTAATCTTTCATGGTTTGTGTCCCATAACCATCATCCCACAAAGGTTCCAAGTTCTCAGGGGCATTTTGGGCACTATTTTTCCCTCCATTTTCATAAGAAGCTTGTGCTACAACTGTATTCTTTCTGTTAACACAAGAAGCTCCTTTGATATTGACAATACTCCTAACAAGAACACATGAAAGCAGCCTTATTATCCCTACAAGGAACAAGAACACATGAACTCATAGTGTTTTCCTACTAATAAAAATCAATTTTAAATTTTAATTTTTAACCCCCAAAAGTGAAGGTTTTTCTTTGAATATGTGGATTATCAATGTAAGTGCATGAATGAGAAAATAGAAATATTCCCAAAATACCCTCATATGAATAAAAAAAAAAATCACAAATAACCTCTTCACATTAGCGTACTAAAAGATTACGTCAAGTCAATCCTCTCTACTGTCACTTAAGACAAGAATCGATGTTTTAAACAGGTTTGTTGGTACTAACATGCTGCTATTTGATCTACAGCAGAATAAGATAACAGAGATATTGAATTGTTAAATTAATCGATGAATTTTAACTTTTATTTGAATTACAAAGTGGTGATAACATCATAAACATTAACAACCAACAACATCTAATGTTAGTATATCATTATTAAATGCTTGTTGCCTTCCCTTCATGATATTCAAACACTTCAACTAAAAATCAATATGTGTGAGGATGAAGTCTTGTATGTGATCCACAATTGGGCATGGCTAAAGACCAATAGTTTTGTTGACTGGATGTTGATGATAACATCATAAACATTAACAACCATGCTTACTTTCTCCACGTGTATCACTGGATGTTGATGATTCTAAACTTTTTCTAATGCATTTAACTGCTTCTGTAGGCAACTGGGCATGGCTATAGACCTATAGTTTTATTGACAATGTCAAAGTCTGAAATGGGGGCAATTGTGGTGGAGATTGGGAGATTTTAGGGAAGATCGACGAGAGGGGAATGTGAGATAATGGGATTCAGGAATCAGAAAGAAGAAGAGTTAGAAACCGCATAAGAAAGGAATCGAAGTAAACGTTGGCTCTCCTGGAGAAGTGGAAGCGTTACGATGTGTTTGGAGTTTCCAAAAATCATTGATGAGTCTTGGAAATCGGTAATTTACATCTCAATGCAGGTAATCTCGCTCCCACTCCTTTTGGTGCCCGATAACAGTAGGTATTGGGCCTTTTACTA